TCCCGTAAGGCGCAAACAATGACAATTCCTGCAACCGAACCCATCCCTGGTCGTCTTGACGTAGAGTCTTGCCACTGGATATGGTGGGCTCGGACGAGAGAGTGAGGTAGACGCCGCGCAACTCTTCTTCACTTTAAACAAAGTCATCCGCGCAAGTCATCAGTCACCAGACGACTCGATGGTCCTCGTCGATCCTCGACGGACGAACAATAAATTATTAAATAATATTATTATTATTAGGTGGTCTTATATAGCGCAGTACCACAGCCTAGGGCTAGGCTCACCGCGCTTCACATAAAAATTAGCAATTACAGAAACGTATACATTTAAACATTTGGTGAAAAGCTTGACCTCACCCGCTCAAGTACTATCTACCCCTGTTAGCCATGGACAACACTCAGCAGAATCGAGCGGTGTCTATCAGTCGGAGAGAGGTGAGAGTGAGAATCAGTCGGTACTGAATAGTACAGTTTGAAGAAATGGGTCTTGAAGGCTGGGGCGGTCGTTACATTGCGGATGTGTAATGGGAGAGAATTCCATTCTCTGCTGGACATTCTGCTGTCTCCCACTCATTAACTTTTTCTGCAATGCTCTTCCTTCAGTGTATCCGTTACCCCAGCAACCGGATATTTTCTGTAATTTCTTTACAAGCAAAGTTGCTAACATTCGCGCTGAGCTTGATCGTCTTGACATATCACCCCTAGATTTGCCTCCCTTTTTCTTGTGTTAGTTCACATTTTGAAGTTTTTAAACCGGTTTCAGAACAAGAGGTCAATTGTTTTATTCTGAAGTCTAAACCTACGTCATAATTTTTGGACCCCCATCCCCCTTTTGTTTGAGTCGTTAGATCATTTAGTCCCAACGATAACCCACATAGTCAATGAAAGCTTGTCTTCTGGCACTGTTCCCTCTATTTGCAAGTCAGCTGTCATCAAACCATTGCTTAAGAAGCCTGGTCTGGATGAAAATAATTTAAAAAACTATAGACCTGTACGGTATCTAACTTATCATTCTTATCTAAAGTTAAAGTCATTGAAAAACTAGTTCTAAAACAACTTTTAGCTTACTTAAACGACCACTCTCTTCTCAGTCATAATCAGTCGGCCTATAGACCTTTCCATAGCACTGAGACGGCTATCGAGAGAGTCACCAATGACCTTTTGCTCGCATTGGACAGCGGTGATATCTCCATCCTGATCCTCTAAGACCTCAATAGTCGTTGACACTGTTGACCATGAAACCCTTTACAAAACCCTTGAACATTACTTTGGAATTTTAGGATCAGTTTTTGCCTTGGTTTAGGCCCCACCTCTCCAACAGAACGCAGACGGTCGCTGTCGATGGCTGTCTCTCCGGCAGTGCTGACTTGGTGTACGGAGTGCCACTGGGGTCCGTTTTGGGCCCGGTTCTATTCACAAGGTATACCAGATCACTGCTCCTCTTGTTCGGGAGGCAAGCCCGTCATTCGCAGATGACTCGCAGCTATACAAGCATACCCATCCCTCTCTTGTCGATTCTGCTTTCCGAACTTTGCAGGAGAGCATTGCTGATGTCAAGACATGGATCATGGA